CAGACACAAACAGGCTCACAAGACACTCAGCCAGCTGGCTGCCACACACCCTGAGTTGGCGCACACATAACTCAAGGCCACATCCTCCCTGTCGCCCCCCCCAGCACTCCACGGTGCCAAGGAGTACAAACAAGGGCACAACAAACAACAGACGACAGGAAGTGATATGCACACACAGCCGTCGCTCGCGACCTCCGTGAATTCTTCTTCGAGAGCGCCGCCTTCTAGCCGCGACCGCAGTTCAGAACGGGCGCCTACGCAGTGATGGCCACGCCAGAGCGGCCCTCCGAGTCGTTCGAGTCGTCTGCGAGGTCCAGCGGGGTCTATGTGGACGAAGCGCCCGCATCGAGGCCGAGGAGCTTCGGCTGTGGGACCCTTCCCGCCGGCGGCTGCAAGATGGCGGTCGGCTCCGTCTCCGGCCGGCAGCCTGTCACCCGGCAGCGCGCAAGCACGGACGTGGCTCGTCGGCCCCCCCAACCACAGGCCGAGACGTACACCACCGCGCAGCTCCTCTCGGTGATGAAACTCGGGCCGGCAGGGTGGGCGGCCGGCGACGACGACGGCGGCCAGGCGGGCGACGCCTTCTACGCGTCCCCCGACCCCTCGCGCACCAGCCTGGCCTCTCGGCAGGCGGCGGCGACGCCGCCCTCCGTCGGGTCCGGCGGCACCCTCGGCTCCGGCTTTGGGACCCTCTCGAACACCCTGACCGCGACGCTTTCAAAGCCGATGCGCTCGCTCATCAAGGGCGCGGGGGGTGCGTGCGACACACCACGACGCCCGAGCCACCTCTCGCCCTCGCGCCCCTTCTCGCCCTCGCCGTTCTCGCCATCACGCCCTCGCCCTGCCTCGCCCTCGCCTCTCTCCCCTCGCCTCATCTCTGCCTCCCACGCCCTCATCTCCGCCGCCCTCGCCTCTTCCCCGGCCGTCTCTGCATAGTGTCGGCCGCACTCTGCCTATCCGACCTCACGCAAAACGGACTCGACGGCGCACACTCCGCGTCTCACTGCTTCTTGGGGTGCGGCGTCACCTGCCGAACGAGCTTGCGCGGCGGCTGCGTCGACGGCAGCACCACCGCTGCCGACAGGCCACCCTCGCGATTCTCGCCCGTCTTGACAGATTCCCCCCACACCACTGACGCCTTCTTAGCGTCTTCGCTGACTTCGGCTCCAATTCTGCCCTTGGACTTCTGACGGATC